AATTAGGAGTCTATAAGAGTTGTAGAAAATTCTTTCATGCATTAGATATGGACCGTATTTTCAATATGAAATGCAATTCTAATGCACGGATTATCTACGAATTCTTGAGTTCGGTAAAATTTGAAAGTGATGAGGCGGATTTTAGGGATGATAAACTCGAGTTTCGTCTGTTTAACCGAAACTATTCAATAACGAAACTCGAGTTTGCTGAACACTTTGGTATCCCGGTGCCCTACGAGAGAGCCATCTCGGATAACACCATTTTTGGGCACTCCCTATGGACAAAGATGACCGGGGAAGTGAGCTTTAACTCCTCCCAAATGTATATTAGTCATGTCCAACACCCCGTCCTCCGGTTATTCTTGAAATTCTTAGCCAATTGCTTGCTTGGCCGTCCCAACAACCATCACACTAGAATTGGGGACGTTTGTTTGATGTCCGTGGCCCTATTCCGTCGTCACGTAGACTTTAATCTGTGCAATCTCATGTGGGCACATCTGAAAAAAGAAAGCGTAGCCAAAGGAGCCATTGTTTTGGGAGGGGTAATTATGCACTTGGCCGGTAAATTCGGGTATACGGATAACTCTCCTATACCTGAATATTGTTTGATGGACATAGGTTGGTTAGGCCGATCAGGCTGCACCTCTTTTTCTCATACAGTGTACATTGGAGACCAACCAAAACACATGTACAACTGGATCATACACGTCCAACCGGTCCAATACTTCCTTTTGCCAAACCCCGACACTCCCAAAATCATCTACAGGCCGGAGTTCGAGGTGCCCCACTACCTATTCCCTCACGCCCTACCACCACATCTCCAAGAACCACAAGCCCAAGATCTCCCCGAAGACCAACCCGACCAAGAGCCTCAACCCGAGTACCAAGAACCCGAGGTTGCACATCACCACATGCCCGCACCTAACCAAGCTTACCCACCTCCCGATTACTTCCAACAACTGCTTGACGGATTTAATAGAGTTACCAATGAAGTTGGTAAGTATCGGGAGGAACAAAGGGCGGGGTTTCAAAGGCTAGAGGAGCAACGGGCCGAAGACAACCGAAGGTATGAAGAAGATCAACGTAGGTTCTATGGACCTATGTATTCCTACATGGCTCATCAAGGCCAATTCCACACCATGGCTCAACCACCACCACCCCCCTCTTGGTATGACCCCACTCAATGGGGCAACTTTGGAGGATCGAGCTCCGGGGGTGGCGGTTTTGATGGCGGGGATGACGGTGGCGATACTCACATGGGCGATGGGAGCTATGGAGGCGGCTTTGGGGGCAGTTACTATGGCGGAGAAGGCGGGCACTAGGGACAGTGCTTCAACTAAGTGTGGGGGAGGAGATTACTCATGGTATGTAATTTCATTTTCTACCTTTTACTATGCATGAATTTCTTTTACTCTTTGTAAACAAAACAAAAAAAAAATGGATAAATAAAAGAATTGAAATGCTAGTTAGGTTGAAAACCCAAGAATGGGCAATCTAAGCAAAAATGGCTTATAAAAAAAATTTTGAGTGAGTTTGGAAAGGATGGAAAAATAAAAAGAGATGCTAGGATGAAAACCTGAAAAGGCTCCTAGGCAAAATGAGAGATATGAGAGAAGTATTTGTTGTGTGCAGAAACTCATTTGATCTCTTGAAGAGAAAGAGGAGAAGGCAAAGAAGAAGAGGCAAGAAGATGGAGCATAGAAGATCATAAAACCCAAGAAAAAAAAATGGTGTTTTGTAAAAATCATTTTCTTATTTCTTGGTGATCTTAGTTCCTTTTTGAACTCATGGAATGATCTTAAACTGTTTGAAACATTTGACTTTACTCGAGGACGAGTAAAGAACTAAGTGTGGGGGAGTTGATACGTTTGTAATTTCCGTATGTTTATTTACGTTTTTAGTTAGTTTTGATTGTTTAATATTTCGGAAATTACACACTTTCGGTGTAATAGTTTAGTTTGTTAAATTCTTGTAATTTGTTTAGATTAGGTTTATTCTGAGCTTAAACAGGTCCAAGATCAATCAAATGATCAATGGTGAAGGAAGGTGCAAGAGTACAAGACAAAAAGAAGGAAAAATCCTGATTTTGGTCTATACTCGATCGAGTATATACATATACTCGATCGGGTATCTGGTTGACATTTCAAATCGGATTGGATCCGAAAACAAAGGAACATGCAGGAGAAGATTTTCCCACGTTCGAGTGTCTATACCCGATCGGGTATGCTTATATACTCGATCGGGTATGCATATAAAATCTACTCGAGTATTGATCGAGTATTGACCAAATTCTGATTTCTATACATACTCGATCGAGTATGTATACATACTCGATCGAGTACTCGATCCTGCACCTCAAAAAGCCTATAAATACACCTCATTTCCTTCACTTTTAGATATCAATCCCTTCTTCCATATACTTAAGCTCAGTTTAGAATAGTTATTTCTTATATTTTTATAGCATGTTTAGTCTCCAAATGAGGAGCTAAACTTCCATTTCTTGGTGTTGCTCTTGAAGCTTGTTGATTTTTAAAGTTGTGAGTTATTTTCTTAACTTCTTTCCTTGAATATTAATTCTTTCTTTAAATATTATTTCTATATCAATGTTGGGGAGTGTTACTAAGATGACAATTAGTTAACATCTTGACATTAGTTATAGTAATAGTTATTTCTTCCTCTATGTTAATATTGGGGAGTGTTACTAAGATGACAATTAGTTAACATCTTGATATTAATTATAGTAGGATTCATCTTCTTTAATATTCTTCCTTGAGTATTAATTCTTCCCTTAATCTATCTCTATATTAATGTTGGGGAGTGTTGCTAAGATGACAATTAGTTAACATCTCGACATTAATTACTACTAGAGACGATCAACGAACCAATGGTTAATCGTTGATGGTTTCACAAGTAAGTAACTTCGGTTTATTAATGCACGGTCGTGGTTAATAAACTTAAGAGGGATTAATTTTATTGGTTAAACCGAAACCGTTGTGTTGAGGTTATCAATCTCAATTGATTTCATCAAGGAGTTAAACGATTAAATGCTACTATCAAGTCGGTATATGGCGGTGTTCTATACTTGGCTAATAGTAAGGGTTATTAATGAACGGTCGTTGTTAATAACTATCCTCGATGAATTGGATATACTCCTCGATTGAGTATTCGAGAGGAGATAAGTTATAGATATAACAATGATCGACTAAAATATATCAACAAGTGGAAAGTAGCAATGCCAAGTCCCTTTTATCTTTGAATTAAACCGCATAATTCATTTATCTTCGTGTTTAATTAATTAAACCAAATCAAACTAAAACCCCCCTTTTTATTATTAGTTCTATAAAAAGAGAAATATTCCTTTCCCTGCGGATACGAACCTTACTACGCTATACTACGTATTAGTGCTAGTATTGAATATTATTTTGAGTGCACTCACGACAAAGTGCACGTCAAATGTCATCTCAATAATGTAATGTCATTTTGTTTATGAGTAAATGACATATGTCAGATATTATGACATTTGGTTTTCCAAAAAATGTCATGTTACTTGTCACTTTTTTGTCTTTTATTTGCTGCTTGTAAATCAAATCCAATGCTAGTATCGATCTATATGTAAATCATGTTGCATGTACATATAAAAAATTCTCTATATAAACTATCCACATTTTAAACATAATTCAATAAAATATATATCACTTTGTCATCTCATCGTGGCTGAAGCACATTTTATCCATTCAAAACTGGATATAACTTGTTTTTCTTAAAAAGTCAAATACCATGTTTAATGTCTTTTTATTTGGCCATTCTTAGATTTGTTGTTTATTACTTGTGGGTTAATTTATGTCTTATTAGTATTAAAACTTTGTGAAATTAGTTTAGTATGTCTAAGTAGCTTACTTTGGCCAAAATGGCATGTCAACATTGTGATATCATTTTGTTTATAGCTAAATGACATATTTCAAACTCTACGTCATTTTGATTTCTAAAAACTGTCACCTAAATGTCATTTCTGTGATTGCCATTTTGCTTGTTAATCATATGCAATCCAACTGGCAAAGGATTTTCTTCAATTATTAACAATCCATGCTTACATAAATATAAGTAGCATGTTGAATGCATTAATGTAAAAATCAAGGCATTTTTTGAACCTAATTCAATAAAATGCATTTTCACAACCTCAATGAATGCAACCTCAATAAAAAGCATTCTCAGAATGACATGTGATAGTGTCTAAAGCATATTTCATACATTCAAAACACAATGAAAGTTGTGTTAATCAAGTTTTCAAAAACAAAGGTACTAGATGTCTAGATGTCATGAAATGATGTTAAAAGTACTAGTAAATATAACATAGTCTTCCAAAACAAACATAATTGTTTCATTCTACAATCCCATTTCTTCATAGCTTCATTTCATTCTCTCTCTCTCTCTCGCTGTCTCCTCTTGCTATATAGCAGCAGTTCAGTTGCCATTTTTTCCCCTAAACAAGGGTATTGCTTCAGGATATATGCCGTCCATTTCCATCCCCACCATTAGAAATTCTGCCATCTTGAACATGAAAATTCCACAGTTTCCCCTCATGCATAACAACAAAAGTTAAAAGAACTTTTTAAAATAAAATAGTACACTATTATACAATTTGTTTAATCAAATTTATATCATTTTACACATCATCTTGCTGTGGACATCCTTCTACAGGCTCGACTGCCAAAAATCTTTCACCCATCTGTTCGTACACTTTGTGATAGTCCATTATTCTGGGCAGGAGGGCTGTTATGCTTCCAAAATAGGACCTGATATCCCTAAGTGAATTCCCTCTTCTGACATTGGAATTGTAGACTCTTATCTTTCTTTGCTTGATATCTAGGACTAACAAAACCCAATGATTGCCAGTATTTAGAGGGAAGTACACATAGTCTGCCTTGCTCCAGTGTAGGCTGTAGTTGTTAGCACCTATTATGTCACGAACAATACTTTCTTCTTCTGCTGACTTGTGGTATGTGCAGTGCCCCTTTGATATATTGTCAAGCTCTCTCTTCATTATTTGCAAGAAAAACGGCCCAGTTGTGGTGTACTTCTGTGCCACTTTGTAATGCACCCTTTTCATGCCCAAATATTACATTACTACCTCAACATGCTGTAAAAAAATACACATTTATCAATTACAAATTAAGTAAACTGACTATTAATGGAAATCTATACAAACACACATGTATATAAATGTACACTTGAGAGTTAGACTGACAAATATATAACATTTTTGCATGTACCTTGTCAGTGATCCATTCATGATTCATAAACATGTCATACAACCATGTTTTTTATTCAACTTTCATATTGTCTAACAAGAACAGCTTGTGAATCATTTTGTCTTCATCCATTGTGTAACTTCTGGGATTTTTTTTGAAACTTCTTCAACAATCCAACTTTGAGGTATTCTCTCACCCTCTCTATTTCATGATCGGGTGGGCTCTCTGTTGGATCTTCTGTGAAAGGTCCAACTACTTCCTTCAGTGGAGGCAGAAATTCATTGTCAGCTCTTTTCTTACCCTTTTCTCTTTTCCTCCTCTTTGCTGAATGCTCAGATGGGGTTGTACTTCACTGGTGACCTAGCAAAACACTTTTGTTTGGGAAGATCCTCATGTGACATAATAATGACACAAGATCACATAAATTACACAAGATGACAGTTTGTATAAAACAAAATGACATTAACTTTGAAATATGTCATTTATCAATTAACAAAATGACATCACAATGTTGACATGCCATTTTGGTCAAACTAAAGTAATGAGACAGACTAAACAAATTGGAAAAACTTTTAATACTTATAAGAATAATACAAAATATCTCTACAAAATAACGTGTATTAATACACTCAATGTCATAGTACAAAATAATAATAAAAAATATAGGCATTATAATCAATTTTTAAACTATTTTGTCATTCAAATCAAGACAATATTACATAAAATGTCTTCAGATTCATAAAAATCATATATATCATGGTAATATGTACTACTGAAGTCATTAATTTGTCAGTTTCATAACTTCACATAAACTATGATAATACTTGAAATGTCACTATTCATTCAAAATGCCACTTGAATGCCATTTTATGGAGTTTATTGTAGTTACCTGATTAGGCTTCACTATGATTGCTCTACATGGATTGGAAAAATAGCTCTCAAAAGTCCTTTTTGCCTCTTTAGATTCAGCAAATCTGCACATCTTCTGGATAAACTCACTATTGTCTTGTGACCCCATCCCCCAACCAGATTGAGCACTTTTCTCCATCTCTTTATTTTGAGACTGACTCAATATGTTAAACGTAGGCATGTCACAAACTACCTCTTCCTTGTTCTTCTCTACCTCCTCAGTGTTCTTCTCTTCTTCATGAAAACCACCAGGATCCTCAATCTCTTCCTTAGCACCCTCAGTCTCTGCATTAGCATCCTCATTCTCTATAGCTACATGCCCAGTCTCTACACCACCAGCATCTTCCTCTACACCAGCATCCTCATCTTCTTCACCTCCATCCTCAGTCTGTACAAGACCATCCTCAGCCTCTGCACCAATGTACCCAGTCTTCTCTTGCACATGCATGTCAGGAATATCATCATCCTCTGAATCTTGCCCAGTCATGTCAAACACAGCATCATCTTCTTTTTCATTAACATTTTGTTCTCATCCTAGACTTTCATTCTTTTCAACTTCCTTTGTTCTTGCTCTTGTATCCTCATCTTTGCCTTTATCACTGCCTTGTGACATTTGTTTGACAAGAAGTATAACTTCTTTTAAAAGATCTTCCTGCTTTTTCTGAGTTTTCTTAATGTTTTTCATTTCTGTCACTAGTCTGGAAATCTCCTTTGCTTGTTTCCTCATGCTTTTTTTGCATATTATTACTATGTTTGCTCATGAACACAACATACTTCTCTCCTTTTCTTCCACTATCACTTGAATCATCTTCTTCATCTTCACTCTCACTGTCTTCATCACTCTCACTGTCTTCAGTTTCTGATTCCATCCTAGTCCGCTTTCTTCTTTTAGAAGTTCCCTCACCAGATTTAATTGTTTTACATTTGCTCTTCCCAACTTTTCCTATTTTCCCTTTGATACTTCTGGTCTGTGTTGCCTTTTGTTTTCCCTTTTCTGCAATACCTTTCATCTTTTCAGCATCTACTCTCCCAACATTTGGAATGACGATGTCCATTCCATTGTCACTTCTTTCATTGATTCCTTGAATCATGGCAATCTCTTCTTCTGTTGGTACAATCTGTACCCATTCAAACTAAACAAATACACTCTGTTAGTAAAAAATTGTGCACACAATCATCTAGATATATTTAGACTATTAAAAGTAATACCTTGTCATTCTCGAAAATTATTTCGGAAAGCACCTCCAGTGTAGGTTTTTTTTTTATGAAATCCCACTCTCCTGGGTAATATGTGTTCTCATAACTCTTCAATGCATTTTGGACATCTGCACGGGACACAGTAGCCTTGCTCCCAAAATATTTTCTCCATATATCTCCGTCAGGCTCTTTTGAAATATTTGGCTTCATACTTCCAAACTTTAAACCACACATTGTTGCCAGATCAGGCTTTTGAAAACTGATTACACTGTTTTGAATATGAAATCTGATGACACTGTCATCTGCATTTCCATTAACTTCAGTGACATAGTTTCCAACAAATCCTAGTAGCAGATGTCCACTATTCCAAGACTTCTCTTCAATTTTTAACATCCAACCAAATATGGTGTTACTGAAATCAGTCAATTCCTCAGTGCTTAGACTTGTCCTTATTGTGTTAAGAACTTCAACAACATTGCAGTAACAATTGACACGCAAGTTTTCCAACTTGACTATCACTGACTTCTTAAAAGCTCTTGTTATTGTCTGTCACGTTCACACAAATATAGGCATTATAATCAATTTGTAAACTAGTTTGCCATTCAATTCAAGACACTCTTACTTAAAATGTCGTGACATCCATAAATTACATGGTAATTCTAACTGCTGAAGTCATTAATTTGCCAGTTTCATATTCTTCTTTAGTTTGCATTTTGTTGTTTTATAACAACATAACACACCAAAAAATGTTGCTAAAAACTCACTAAACTGACATGAATGCGTCATATTCAGAAGTTCCAATTCAATGTGATTTTACTTTCCATTCAATCTATGAGATATGAATAAAATGTCACTATTTCAGGCAAATTGTCATCACATTCATGATACATACTTACAACCCCACTATATAACCATATATTCATGTAATTTCCCTTTTCATACAAAATGCCATCATATACGTCTTTATTTTGCATTATTCTGTTGTTTAATAGCAAGACAAACTACAAATTATCTGCTAAATTCTCACTAAACTGTCATTAATAAGTCAGATGCAGAAGTTCTAATTCAAACTAACACATATTCATAGTCTTGCTAATAAGAATGGCACCATATAACAACATGATGTAATCAGATGTTACTAAAGGTGTCATTTACTTTGCTCTTAATGTCACACAATTCATGATAACATCATTTTTCGCGGCAAATTGAAAACCTATTTACATTCATGCCAGAAACCTATTCGCATTATTCTGTTGTATAAAAACGACTTACTAAACTCGTCTAACTGTCAAACCTATTTACCAAACTCCTTTAACTGTCAAACGAGTGTCAATTTCAGACATTCCTCTAACAAATTACCACTTACCATTTCAGAATTGATTCTGACGGAAACTTGGTTTGACAATATATATTCCATAGCCCTGTCCATGAACTCTCCTCAACGATTCAACGTTGAAGTTATACAGCGTTTGTGTTTTGAAGTTTTGAAGCGAAGTGAACTTTTGAGCGTCGTCGACTGACTGGCTCTCCAATCACAGCTCTCAACAGTAAGACTTCCAATACATCTTTATTTAATTTGGAATCTTTTTTTTGGGCGGCATGATTATCATGTATGCTTGGAAACCGGGAATAGCCGTAAGGTCAGAGAAGTAACCGTCAATGAGGGAAGAGTACGTGTATCGGTTAAATGGAGGTTATTTTTGGCAATTCAGCGCATATTTGGTCCTACACGCGGTAGGAAAAAAGTGGATGTCCTATTTTTGAAATTTCCTTAAGTAATAGTCCTATTTGGAAAAATTTCTCTAAAAATTAAGATTCATTTTTAGCTCTATTATCTTAGCAATTTACACATAAATATTCATGTAAGTTTCAACCTCTAAGTAGTTATAGGCCCTCCACCTTCATCGCATTCACATCTCATCATATCCTCACACAATTGAACTAATTACTTACCCGATAATATCGCATGACGAGCATTCATATGTAGGTGTGCATATATGTCTGTTTGTCCATCGTGATTGAGTTTCCTAATGTTTGGAAGCTCATCTTATGAGCTTTTCGAACACACACACATACACATTAGAATTCATCTTATCTTTAATTAATTTGTTCTTCGATCTTAGTCGTAAGCTAGCATATTAAATAATTATTATACTACATACATACGTGTGTGTATATATATAGCGTGCCTAGCTAGCTAGCCTTTTCGGCCCGCACGCACGGTCCATCGATCAATTATATGATATTCAATCAGAGGAGGCCGGCGGTGGTAGCGCGCATATATAGTATGGCAGCGGCGGCGTTGTTAATGTTGACAAGGAAGCGACACATTTGCGGCGCATTGTTGTTGCTGCTGCTAGCAGCGTGTGGTGCTCCCACATTGCGGGCGGACATCGCTGAATACGATGACTACTTGAAGAAGAAAGCCGAGGAAGCCTTCCATTCCTCCCTCCAGGCTTACTATGCCGACCCCGAACAAGTCACCGATCATTTCAATGCCGAAGTTGGGGAGTATGTATATATAGTAACTCGTTCAATTAATACTTAGCTAGCTTGTACATTATTAAATATAATGAAACGAACGTGCACATTAATTAATACATACTCCGATCCATGCAAGAAAGAATTACGTACATGCATGAATACTAGCTACGTATATATTGTTCCTACCCTGGCCTAGCCTGCACATGTTTGAATTGAATGATTAGTAGTTGGTAGGTTTAGCTTTACATGCATGGATGTGAAATGAAGATGGATTATTTGGCTTTCTTGGTCAAAGTTTAATTTGGAGGACGTACGTACGGTTTTAATTAATTAAATGATGGAATTGATGCAGCACGATAAAAAACTTGACCGGGAAGATGAGAAGGAAGCTTAAGGAAGGTGGCGGGGGCGCGTGCGAGGCAACGAATCCTATTGACAGGTGCTGGAGGTGTGATCCGAATTGGAGCATGAACAGGAAGAGGTTAGCCGAGTGCGCGAGGGGGTTCGGGCACGGGACGGTGGGTGGAAAAGAGGGTGAGATTTACACGGTGACGGATGCCTCAGACGATGACGTGGAAGAGCCAAAGCCGGGCACGCTCCGGCACGCCGTGATTCAGGAAGAGCCGTTGTGGATCATCTTCGCCAAGTCGATGGTGATCACCCTGAAGCAAGAGCTGATGATAAACCACGACAAGACCATCGACGGGCGCGGGGCGTCGGTGCACATCGCGTATGGCGCGGGGCTGACAATCCAGTTCGTCCAGAATGTGATCATCCACAACATCCGCATCCATCACATCCTGCCCAAACCGGGCGGCCTGGTCAGGGACTCCGTGTCCCACGTCGGCCTCAGAACCATGAGCGATGGAGACGCCATCTCCATCTACGGTTCCAACCATGTGTGGATCGACCATGTCAGCATGGCCAAATGCAGTGATGGTCTCATTGATGCCATCATGGCTTCCACTGCCATCACCATTTCTAATTGCAAGTTCAATCACCATAATGACGTACGTACCCGAACCTCCTCAAATTAAATGCTCGTGTGCATGTACGCACGTTTAGCTTAGCTAATTAATTAATACACAATTGATATATACATACATACATACACACAGGTGATGTTATTAGGGGCGAGTGATTCATTCTCTGAAGACTCGGTAATGCAAGTGACAGTAGCATTCAATCGGTTCGGGAGGGGGCTGATCCAGAGGATGCCGAGGTGCCGATGGGGGTTCTTCCACGTGGTGAACAACGACTATGCTCAGTGGGAGATGTACGCGATCGGCGGGAGCTCGAGCCCCACGATAGTGAGCCAGGGCAACCGCTTCAAGGCCTCCGACAACCCTTTCACCAAGGAAGTGACCAAGAGAGACTACGCTCCCCAGGCCCAGTGGAGTCACTGGCAGTGGAGATCAGAGGGCGACTTGTTCTTGAATGGGGCATACTTTGTTGAATCCGGGCAGGAGTTGAAGCGCACCCCATTGACCAAGAGCAGCCAAATCAAGTACAAGCCTGGATCTTACGTCGGACGCCTTACCCGCAAGGCTGGTATGATCAGATGCAAGCTCCACGCACCTTGCTAGCTAATTTATCAACTACTATACGCATGCTGTACTCATTTTATTCCATATGCCCCCATCAAGCTAAGCTTGCTTTAATTACATGTAGCTAGTGTTGGATATACCCATATATATATATATATATGACCAACACACACTCACACATATATGACCAATTGAATGAACCTAACATTGTATTTTGTTTTCATCTACTTTTCCTAGCTATTTATTTTGCTTTGCTTGGATTTACTGCACAAAACACACCACTTATACTTCACTTTTTTTACTTGTCACATTTCCAGATTCACATTTTCCAGTGCACAACTCTCACCAATAATGCATTTAATTACTCCCGTCGTCCCACAATTAAGTTCACGGTTTGACTTTGAGTCAAACTTTGTTTACTTTGACCATTAATTATTCAAAAATCGTATTATTTTACCATACCAAAATAATTTTGAATACTTCATTTTAATATATACTATTGAAATGTTAGCTTATTATAAGTTTTATTAGTGTATATTTTTATATATCAATAGTCAAAACGTCGATGTTGGAGACTATGAAAGTCCAACTGTGAACTTAATTAAGGGATGTGGGTAGTATTTATTATTGAAAAATAAAAATAAAAACCAGTTTTTGAAAAACTAAAATGATTGTACTCAAAGTAGTAGCTAGACTATGTGGAGAGTGTATGAAATTATAAATGTTGCAATTATTTAACAACAAAGGTAATGTATCTGTGTGTCTACGTAATGAGTATTAAATTAGCTAAATTAAAGCTCTTGTTTTTTTACTCCAAGGGGTCCGGGGGAGGGGATCAGGGCTGAAACTCACTCCATTGAGTTTCGAACCCTTATGTGCCTAGCGGGTTTCGAACTCTTAAGAGCTAGATTAAAGCTCTTCTAGACGATATACACATAAGGTTACAACTCAATCTAATGCACTTAATGTTTGTATATTGCACTTTTTGAACTTTGGTCCAACCATGTCAACATTATACTCGATCTATAGTAATCAAAACAAATGCAATGACATTTTGGTAAATAAATTAAAGTTTTATGCAAACTCGGAAAAGCGCAACACAGAAACTAAATAGTTTATCACATTGGGGGGAAGTAAAAAAAGCCTTCACAGTTTTCAAAGGAAACATTGATTGGGCTTAACTTGCAAGTATACAAGTGCCGATTGTAGTAGATATAATCACCGGTAAAATAGTGGGTTACGTTGATCCACGGGGAAGCGTTGTTTTATAAAGACCAAGTTTTGAGAACTAAAATAGAAGTAAGTGCATGAATTTTGTTGTTGTTGAATGTATGAATGCGATAAAATGATCAAGGCGTCCGAATCCACCTAAACAATAACTAGAGTTTAATATATTTGGTTTGTCAATTCTTGTGACTCCTTTTTCTTTGCTTTTGATCATATTTCACGTTTTCTTCACATATTGGGTTTTTACATACCCTTGTCCCTCTCTTTTTGCAATATAGATTATTATAATTACTTCTATAAGATATAGGTAATTATATATTAGAAAGAAATGACAAATGAACCTGGACAAAGGCCTTAGCCTTAGCCATAATAATTACTTCAGAAACACATTGTCTCCTCTAATTTTTTATCATGTGAATGAAGAATTTCCTTAGCAATAATATGTGATCAGGAATGAGTGAATGACTATGTTTTTCCACAAAATTGGCTTGTTCCAATGAAATATGTAGGACACTGATATGTAGAATTATGAAACTAAACCTAGAAGAAATTATACAGGTGCAAACCTTGCTAAAAAGGATTAAAAGTACTACTCATTCCAATAAGATGCACATTCTTTTAAGGATCTCGTATATTAAAGAAGTCCATAATTACAGGTGCTTGTATGAGGGTAGTCATATTTGGGTGACCTTATGGAATTTCTTCTCATTCCACACCATGTATAGTTACTACCGTGCACCGGAAAATCAACTAGTTCACACCAAGCAATACAAGAGCAAAAATATTCCATATCCCCATAGTTAGGAAGATTTGGCCCTTTAATTATGCTCAGTTGTGGCTGGAATAACATTGAAATCACCACATAAACGCCAATGATCAAAATTGTGTTAAACCAAAACTTTAAGGAGTCCCAAATAGCAGTTCTCTTCTTACGTGTAAATTTACCATAATGTTATCACAATATAATGCATGCAAACCCGACTATCATATGAGATAAACACGTTTCCAACAATCAAATGATGAAGAGATTCGAATAGAGAAGAGAAGAAACTTTGATTCAATACCAAAATAATATCGAACGTACAAGGCAAGGTATGAATCACAATTGCTTTACTTCTCTCATTGGAATGTATGAATGCCTATTATACTACCTCTTTGATTCTTTTTCTTACGATTCTTAGGGTTTACGTAAGTTAGCCCTCCTTTTAGGAATGTATGTGTTGAGGTTTATTCCTTCAACCCTTGGACCCAACACGTAAGCCCAAAGATTTCGAGTGGAGTGAGTGTATGAATATCTAGCCCAACAACTATCAGATGGATCAGGAAACAAAAGAAATAGCAGGCAATGTAAATAGGTATTATTAACTTCGTAATAACTCCCCTAAGTACAATCTACTTGCTAAAAAAGGCACGTCGGCCGTTCGTCTTACAAGGCAGTTAGAAGTGCTGCGAGTAAGAATGCTGAAGCTAGTATGCTAAGAATAGAAAGTTGTCAACCCTTTACAATGAAATAAATGCTTCTATTTATACCCACTAATGGGCAGGTGGCTATACTGACGTGGCAGCCTGTGGACCGCTGGTGCCCCAACCACCAAATCTTCAGCATTAAATGCACTTCCCGCCAGAATCAAGGTTTCCCGCCCAATCGGTGGGGACGTTCGTCCGCCCGGGAAGTGAGTTGGATCGCCCCAAGGGACCCTCAGGAGATACCGGCTGTTCGTCTCCTGGCCTTGACGGGTACTCACCATGTGGACTGGGTTTCCTCCGATGACTTAGGCTTGCCATGGGGACGTTCGTCGTCATCCCTGGTGGCCCGTGGCCCTGCTCCTCGTCCCTACATTGACGCTCGTCGGGAGGGGCCGCTGGGCCTGAACCCCCAACCCCAGACGTTCGTCCATCCTCAAGGAACATGGGCCTGTGGGCTGGCCTAGTGTTCTAACTGGACGTTCGTCTGGCAAAATGGGTTAGTGGGCCGGACCTCGGCTTGGGCCCTTAACCCAACACAAGTCCCCCACTTCTGATGTTCTGGGCTTGCGCAGGACATAAGGAAGTAGGAACTCCCTCAAAGCAGACGTTCGTGTCCTGATACTCGTGTTTTCTGCACCCGTTGGAAGCGTACGCTCGTGGTCATGGTGCTTGACAGCTGTCGACGGTTCAGGAAACGAGGTGACGGCTGATGTTGCGGCGGTGCATTTTCCCGAGGAAGTGTCATCATTACGTTCCCATCCCACGCACAGCGCGTGGGCCGGAATACGCTCCTTGCCACGTGTCAGCCCCTCGTTGGTTTCCCCATCGGTGTTTCTCCTATAAATGCCGGGTTTTCCCTCTGAATTAGGGTTCCCAATTTCTGCTATCTTGCTTTCGACTTTCCGCAGCTCTTCAAGTCTTCTTCTCCGCTTCCGAATTCGGCTAACCCCCTTGTAAGGTAATTTCCCCCCTCTGCTTCTTTTCTTGTTCTGATTCCTAGCCGACATGACTTCGATGGAGATTTCGTCAAGTTCTGATTCCGGTTCGTCGGGTTCCTCATCGGGCTCCTCTTCGGACAATGTGAGTGCGCGCTCCCCCGGAAAGGCCAGTATTTCCGGGACCTCTGGTTCGGCCACGACGGTAGGGACCATCCGGGCTGATGGTGAGCCGGATGATGCTTCTCAAAGTAGTGGGAGCGACGCCGGGGATGGGGATGCTGACGGGGCAGTAGATGTTATTGACGCAGTCCCCCTGAACGAGCGTCCCGCCGATTACGATTCTGGAGAGGAGGCCGAATCTGGTTCCGATATGGAGGTGTATGATCTGGGCATCCCTACGGATATGGAGCGCCACATCTGCCCGATCAGGAGCGCCCTTGACCACGACCGAGTTCTCTCCCGCGTGGCCCTCAACAAAATCCGTACTTTCTTCCCCCCGCCGTTCGTCTGGAGCGTGAGAGGCGCTGAGCATGTGATGAGGAGACGTCCGGGGATGATCATGCTCCACTTGGATTCCGTTGAAGCCGGGCTGCGGTTCCCGCTCCATCCGTTCTATGTGGAATTCTTCCACTGCTTCCAGGTGGCCCCGGCGCAGTTCATGCCAAATTCTTATAGGTTCATATCTGCCTTTCTGGTGCGTTGCAAACTAGCGGGAGCCACTGCCACTCTGGAGCTTTTCCACTATTTCTACCGCGTCACTCCACAGAATGCCGACGGGTATCTGAGCGTGGCCGCACGTCCTGGGAGACGGTTGTTCAAGAGCTACCCTTCGTCCATCCACGACTGGAAGAACCGCTTCTTCTTCCTTCGACACGACGGGCCTCCCCTCCCCATTCAATTCGGTGGAATGGCTATCCCCCAAAGATCGAGTCACCGGAGCCGACCGACGATCTGCTTTTGGACGTGGAGAAGGTGTTGGAGGGCGGCGTCCGTTCCATAGCCGGATATCTGACCTTCGAGGCACTCTCCGGGGCAGGCATAGGTACCGCCCGTGTCCCTGGACTCTTTCCACCCTTCGACGCTCGTCTCGGGGCACCGGGCGGTCCTGTCCTTCGAGGTGAGTGTCTTATTGTATTCCCCACTCGTCTTTTAACCCTCTGTTGTTTCTTGCAGGTTCTCCGCCAGACAGAGACCAGATGAATCACGCCGAGTGCCTGAAGACAAGGAAGGCCAAGGCGGCCGCTGCTAAAGCCGCACTGGCGAAAGCCAAAAACGCCCCCCGCCTCGGAGTCCAACTCATCGGCTTCTGATGCTGCCCGGCGAACTGCTGATGGTGAGCAGCATTTAATCGCCACCATGCTGGCTCAGGGTTCTGGGGCCCCTGCTCTTGAAGCTGCCCTTCCACCGCCGGTCGTCCCTTCGAAGGCGGCCCCTCAAAGGGGGACGGAGAAGGTCCCTGAGAAGAAACAGAAGAGGGGCCGCGAGGCAGGCTCCACTGGTCCCCTGCTTGAAGATGCCGGCTCTCTGCCGTTGAGCCGCCCGGCGGAAGAGCTTTGGAGGGAGATGGCCCTCAAGGCCGGTCTCGAACTGCCCCGCCGTTCGTCCTCTGAGGCAACCAGCGCTGCCCTGGCAGCCGCTCTTCTGGTAATTCCTCCTTGCTAGATCCGAGTATATTTTTTCCTTGACGTTCATTTTCTAACCGTCTTTCCTCCTTTCATCCAGTCTGGGCTTCTGGTCCTTCAAGCCGAAGCTGCCCGGGAGGCCGACCTGAGAGAGGTCAAGGCCAAGGCCGATGCGGCTGTCGCCACTGCCCGGGAGGCCGCCCGTCGAGCTGAGGCGGAGGCTGCAGCCAAGGGGAGGGAGATTGCAGCCCTGCAGGCTGAATCCCGCAGCCAGTTGGCCGGTCTTGAGAGAGCCGGTTTCAAGCTTGTTCCGGTGTTCCCTGCCGCCAGGGATGCCGCTCCGGAGTGGTTGGTCGACACCTCCGGCTACAGGAACACCGGGGAATTCATGGATTCCGCCAAGGATTATTGCGCCGGGGCCTTCGGTGATGTATTCTCTGCGGCGCTGGCGAAAATCCCGCCCCGGCAGCGTCTGGCGTGCGGCGTGCGGATCCTGGAGAGCTCCCCCTTGTCGCATAAGTTCCTCTACGAGGTCGGCGACAGCTCCTTCGCCGCTGGCTACAATGAGGGGGTCAAGGCCACTCTTCCCATTTTCTCGAGGCTGCAGGGGGCCGACTTCGAGCTTGCTGCAAATACAGACGACGATCTGCTGCTTCAAGCCTTGGGGAAATTGGGGAGAGACCAACGGTGGGAGGAGGCCAAGGCTAGAGGGGAAATTCCGGAACCCCCGTCCCCCGAGCCCGAAACCGAGGAGGAGGAGCAGATCCCGGGAGGCAGCCGGCCTGAGTCCCCTTTCATGGTGTAAATGTAACTTGTAATCTTTTCATTTTGCGCTTGTAATGCCCGGCCGTTAGAGCCGAAGAATATACACAACTTTTGCCCAAATTGTCTCTACGTTCATGATCTTTACTTCGTTATTTTTGCTTTCGTTTCCCTCATCGTCTGTTGTATGGAAACCCCTTCGGCGCCTCGATACACTTTGTAGCAGGGTTAGAGTCCGAGAGAACGTTCGTATTTGTTCCTTAAGGCAACGGCGTCCCCTTGTCAAACCTCCGTACGTACTCAAGTGTGCGGAGGTACTGCTCAAGCCCGTCTTCGGGCATCGACGTTAGGTTCTGATGCCGGCTTACCGTCCTCAGAGTACCCTGACAACGAAACGACGTTCGTCGGTGGCTTATGACGTATACTCAAAGTGTGGACGTATGAACGTGCTTCCCTTTCGGTAATGACGTTCGTCTGTCGTCGCGTGACATGAATATTCAAGCTACGTATGGGGACGTGCGTCTGTTTTATATACTCCAATGGCATGAAGTATGAAAGGACGAACGTAGCCTGTTGATGCGTATGTCTGCCACTAGCCGCCGATATTAGGGGCAGCCGATGGTCTTGATCTCCGGGTGTCCCGAGTTCCCCGCTGGACGTTCGTGGCTCCGATGCAGCCACCGGAATCGAGGCACCTTAAATACCGTGGTAGGTGCCGGTACCCAGGCGCCACGTGTCCCTCTTCGGTTGGTGTGTTCCCGCGGTGCTGCCTATAAGTACCCTGAACCCATGTAATTCATTCATACTTCTCCTTACGCTGCACAATTATCTTCTCTCTCTAGATTTCTCTCAAACCGTATCGGAACCTCGAACTCCAAAGGTACCGTTCGTTGCCATGTCTTCCGAAAATCGCTTCGACGATGGTTGTTCTTCCGGTGATGACTTGGAATATTATGAGCGGGGAATGCCGCCCCGGCCTCCCCGTTATAGTCTCAGCTTCTCGTGCGTTCGGCGTCAAGTTCAACGCCTGACGAATGCTGATAAGCGACTGATCAGCCAATGGTTTTATCCTCCCAGGGTCTATGACGATCGGCGTCTGCGGAATCCCATGCGCCATCTGCCCGGCTATGTGGTGGTCCACTTGGATTCGGTGATAGCCGGGCTGAACTTTCCCCTGCATAGCTTCCATTTGGAGCTCTTCAGGGCCCTTGAGATAGTGCCTGCGCAGTTTGTCCCTGCCGCCTATCGGATAATCGCTGGCTTCATCATCAGATGCCACAGCGTCGGTGTGATCCCCACCGTGGACCTGCTGCACCATTTCTTCCGTCTGTCCCCCTTCGGACGCACAGGGTATTTGACCCTTATCGCCCGTCCGTCCATGGTCCTATTCTCGAACAATGCTGGGAATCCAGACGGTTGGGAAGAACGCTACTTCCTGGCCGGAGTAGGCTCACCGATGCCATTCTCTGACCGGTGGAATGCTTACCCCGTGAGGACGATCCCGCCGCCCATGACGGACGAGGAGCTCGGATATGCGAAGCGCATAGCCGGACTTGGCATCCAGAACCTCCGGTTGCTGGTGGCCGAGCCCTTTAAAGCTCAGGCTGGATTAGGTGCGTCCGTTTGTACTTGTATTGTTTTAACCTCTCTTCGCTGTTATGGCTCTGAACGTCTTGGTTCCCTTTGTGCAGGCATTTTTCCGCCCACGTCCACCATGAGCCGAGTCAATACCGCTTCGTCTGCCGCCGGTCGTGGACACAAGGGGCATGACAAGCCCGGGAAGCCGCTCGTCCCTAAGGTCGAAACTCGGGTGACCAGGGCACGGGCTGAGGATGATTCGGGAGCCGGCGCCTCCAAGAGGCTGCGCATCGAGGGTACTGCCTCCAAGGCCATCATAGTGGCCGACGACTCTGATGGTGAGCCCGGGAGTCCCCTTAAGCGGAAGCCCGCTTCTCGGGACAAGCCCCGTCCTTCTCCCCCACGAACTTCTCACGTTCGTCGTCTCCGGGATGATGATGCCCAGATTGCCAAGGATTCTGACGACGCTCGTCCTCCTTCGCCCCCAGAAACCAATGGGTCCTCCCTCGGTTTGATTGAATTTTCCGGGGTTGGTCCACGCAAGGAGTCAATGATGCTCTTTGGTCAAACAGCATCCTCTATATGGTGCGGCCTGAATCTCAAGGTCCCCCAGGATTTCGCTGCTCAGGAGGCACCCGAAGACCTTCTGGAGTGTGGTCAGAGCACTTTGGACAAAGCCGGGCTCTACTTCCACAGGGCCCGGATGGCCTTCGAGCACCAAGGCAGGGAGATGGCCAGGGTGCGGGCCGAATGCGACGCCCTTCTGAGGAATGCAAAAGGCAGGGCTGGCACTCTTCAAGAGAAAGTCGATGCCTACGATAGGCTCGTCCAGGAGAATGCCTCTCAGAAGGAGCTCCTCAAGAAGCAGGAGGCCGAGCTCGTGGATCTCCGCAGCCGGATGTGGGCCGTAGAGCAGGCCAAGGTGGAGCTCCGCCAGACGGGCGTGGACAACCATGTCCCTATTTATGAGGCCGATGTTGCCAAAATCAAGGAGTCCGGATCCATAGCATTCCAGAGGTCCAAGGCTTACACTGGCGCCATCCACACCATGGCCATGAAGTTCCTCCCGCGGCTCGTCGGCGAGTTCCTGGCCACCTGCCCGGATGCCTATCTGGATGGGGTTAAATTGCTCCAGGCCACCCCCACCGGACGTCGTTTTCTTGACGATCTCGCCGATGATACCTACCGCAAGGGTATGGTTGGGCTAGTAGCGGAGAATCTCCCGACGTTCGAGCGTCACTTCGGGGCTCCCTTCGATCCGGAGGCGGCTGGCTTCGACGTCTTGATGGCAGATGCCCATGCGGGGGCGCTTGAGCTGCTGAAGGAGCAGGAGGAAACCGATGCTAGGGAGAAAACCAAGCAGGCCCTTCCCAAGGTTCCAACCCCGGACGTCGATCGGCCGTGATTCTCCGCTCATTATCTTGTACTCGTACAGTTTTTCCATTATTTGCATTGTACCCTCGCACATTGTAATTTTCCGGCCAATAGTGCCGAGGAATAAAAATCATTCTTTGCTCCATGCTCTTCTGGCATCTTTTTTTTTGTTTTTTTTTTTGGAGTCTTTTAGTCTTCGTTCGTCCTTGGTCCTTGGTCCTACCGGCGTCCCTACTTCGAGGAGACGTTCGGTATCCGCAGACATCGCAAGGAGGAACAGGTTTATCTACATCGAGATTCCCCTATTTTTCGTTCGTCCGTGGTCCTTTTAGTCTTACCGGCGTCTCTTGCTTCGAAGAAGACGTTCGGTACCCAAGGAACTCGCAGGGACGAACAGGTTTACCCTCACGGGTTCCCGACTTTGTTATCCCACGTCCATCGATCCATGGTCATTTGTGGGATAAACAGGTTTATCTTGGCAGGCTCCCTTGGTTCGTCTAGCCCCCTCCACGTCTCTACTAACCTCTACATCGAGAGGCGTTCGTCTTCGGCGGTGGGGGAAGATCTGGCACACCCGGGCAAGATTCCCTTCCGTATAGGAGCTACTCTCCTCTTCTCCCCATCTTTTTTTTTTTTGAGGGAGGCAATCTATACTCTTCGTTCGTCATTGGTCCCTGGTCCTACCGGCGTTCCTACTTCGAGGAGACGTTCGGTATCCGCCGACATCTCAATGAGGAACAGGTTTATCTGCATCGAGATTCCCTGGTGCTTCGTTCGTCCTTGGTCCTTGGTCCTACCGGCGTCCCTACTTCGAGGAGACGTTCGGTATCCGCAGACATCGCAAGGAGGAACAGGTTTATCTGCATCGAGATTCCCTTCTTTAGCAGTCGTTGGCAAGAACAGAAGTGATGAAAAAACAGGGGGCCTTTATTATTGACGACGTCCGGTCAAATTACATAGGAGTGGGAATAAAACAGGAACAACAGCCTCTAACTATTGATAGAACTTCTTCAGGTGTTCTACGTTCCACATCCCGGCATGGTTCCCCTCCAGGGTATGGAGGAGGAACGTCCCCTGGTTGTATCTTCTGATGACCCGGTAAGGTCCTTCCCAATTCTTCGCCATTTTGCCGCCTTCGAGCGGCTTGCTCTTCTCTCTTTTCCTGAGTACGAGGTCCCCGGCCTCTATTTCGCGGAATTTCACGGCTTTGTTGAAGTATCTCTGGGTGGCCCTGTGATACTCTTCCATGCGACGAGCCGCTAGGTCCCTCCGTTCCTCAATGAAATGGAGCTCCGCTCGTAGGTTGGTCTCGTTGTCCTCCGGCTGGAAGTACTTGGTGCGATGTGTAGGTACCAACACCTCCGTCGGTACCTTAGCTTGGAAACCATAAGCTAAGGCGAAAGGGGTTTCCCCAGTCGCCGTTCTGGGCGTTGTCCTATATGTCCACAAGACATAATTCAGCTGCTCCGGCCAAGTGGAGGCGTAGTCTTCCAACTTCTTCTTGATCCCATCCATGATGGTCCGGTTCATGTTCTCCACTTGGCCGTTGGTTTGCGGGTAGGCCACCGAGGCCTTAGAGTGCCTGATGCCCCACTTTGCCAAGTATGCCTCAAAGCCCCTGCCGACGAACTGCCGGCCGTTGTCGGTGATGATCTGCTCTGGGATCCCGAAGCGGCAAATGATGTTCTGCCAGACGAACTTCTGGCACTGGAATTCAGTGATGGAGGCGAATGGTTCGGCCTCGACCCACTTTGTGAAATAATCAACCGCCACGATGACGAACTTCCTCCCACCAGCAGCCGTTGGCAGAGGACCCAGCAGGTCTATGCCCCACCTAGCAAAAGGTAGTGCGATGGTCATCGGGGTGTAGAAACTCGCTGGGCGGCCAGGGACAGGTGCATACTGTTGGCACACTGCGCACTTCCGAGTGTGGTTGAAGCAGTCTTGCTGTATGGTCGGCCAGTAATAGCCCTGCAGGATGATTTTTCTGGCCAAGGTCCGGGGGCCCTGGTGGCTGGAGCAGATCCCTTCATGTATTTCCTCGATCACCGCAGCTGCCAGGCTCGGCGGGAGGCACCTGAGGTAGGGTCCGCCGAACGTCTTCTTGTAGAGCTGCCCGTCAATAAGCTCAAAGTTAGGGGCACGCCTCTTT